TATATATATATATATATGTATATAAATATATATATATATATATATATATATATATGCGGGTACCTGAGATATATTAGGTGTTCATTAAGTGTCGCCTATATGATGTTGTTTATTCATATTCTTGTACAGACATATTTGAGTGTCAGGAATGTGATTTTTATATAAGTGTGTATTGTACACGCATATATTTGTAAAGTCTGTACACGTACGTAAATATTCTTTGTTCCATGACAGGATGCACCTTTTAGGTGATTGATGCAGTTCATAACCCTTTAAGCGAACATTGAGGTACACACAGTTTTTAGACCATGTCACTTATCAATGGATTCAGTCGGAAAAAGTAGTTATACAAAGTACATCAAAAGCAACCCAATCTACAAAAAGCTAGACATAAACGCAGCTTTGCGCTATAAACCTTATGTAGCTGACATATCGAACCGATATTTGCTAGTTGTGAAGGCTATTCTCGACGCAGTAGTCAATGGCGTGCAGAGGAGGACGTGAGTACAAGCAATCGTACTACTTTTCAGCTCTTATTACAGTTATTAATATATAACTATGGTCACGTTGTAAACCTAGACATATACACAACATTGCGTCATGGAACTTGAATACGAGAAATGTAGCTGGTATATTTATTCGTAAAATATCAGTCGAAACGCAGTATTCAATAGTATGCAAGAGACAGAGTTGTGATATAAGACACGGCTCAAAATTTTCTAGTTTAAATGACAGTTATATACAACACGGCTCGATTTAGCATGCAAGAGACAGAAGATGTGAGATAAGACACGGTTCATCATATTTTCCAGTTTTAATTACAGTTATATACAACCATGGCTCTACAACCCAAAGCGATGACTACTTCGAGATGTAGAAGAACACGATGAAACTCCTCAAGCCCGTAGCAAGAACCCCACCTCTCCGCCACGCCATTCACACTGCAACCTTTGGCAGTCTATACCTCAGATGACTATAGTGAACAATGACATGGTATATGCACACATATGAAAGGACGTCTATCTTCCATGCACCAACTAACTCACCCACCAGCACATCGATCAACGCATCCGTCCACTTTAAACAGTGGTCAGGCTACACCCACGTGCTAGATGTGTGCAATGCATGTATACTAAAACCAGGCTCGATTAGGTATTTAAATTAAGTCGGCGACGTTGCTAGGCAACTCCTCCACAGTTGTGTTGTAGAATTGCTCTATCTCTCTCATCAGACGACCGTCCTCCTTAGTGATGAAGTTGATGGCCACGCCCTTTCTACCGAAACGACCACCACGACCGATTCTGTGAATGTAGTTCTCTCTGTTGGAGGGCAAGTCAAAGTTAATGACAAGCGACACCTGCTGCACATCAATACCTCTGGCGAGAAGATCAGTGGTGATGAGAACACGTGAAGAACCAGATCGGAATTCGCGCATAATAACTTCACGCTCAGACTGTTCCATTTCTCCGTGCATAGCGGACACGGTGAAATCACGCTTGCTCATAGACTCTGTCAACCAGTCGACCTTTCGGCGTGTGTTACAGAAGATAACAGCTTGGGCAATTGTGAGTGTTTCGTACAGATCACCGAGTGTGTCGAGCTTCCACTCCTCCTTGTCTACCATAACGTAGAACTGCTTGATACCTTCAAGTGTCAACTCCTCTTTCTTCACCAGGATACGGATGGGTTCACGCATAAAGTGTTTGGTTACCTCCAGCACATCTGATGGCATGGTGGCGGATAGCAGCACAACCTGTACCTTGGGGGGTAGCAACTGGAACACATCGTAAATCTGCTCCTTGAAACCACGTGACAACATTTCATCGGCTTCGTCAAGCACAAACAGCTTCAAATCACGGATGCGCATTGCTCCACGACGGATCATATCGTGCGAACGTCCGGGGGTACCTACAACGATTTGTACACCACCCTCAAGGATGCGCATGTCCTCACGAACGTTCGTTCCTCCAACACACGCATGACACTCGACCTGCATGTAGTCACCAAGCGACAACATAACCTTATGGATCTGCTGAGCCAACTCACGCGTGGGGGCAAGCACAAGCGCTTGTGTGACGTTAATGGACATGTCGATCGAGTTCAGAATTGAGATCGAGAAAGTCGCCGTCTTTCCAGTACCGGACTGGGCTTGTGCAATGACATCGTGACCCTTGCAGCAAGGAATGATAGCGCGCTGCTGAATAGCGGAGGGCTTCTCGAAACCGTATGCGTAAATACCACGCAACAAGTTGGTCTTAAGCTCCATCTCGTCGAAGGTATCAACAACCTGATCCCAGTTAGACTCAATTAGGAAATCCTGGTTACCTTCACCTTCACCTTCACCTCCATCGTTATCGCGAGGCTCAGCGCTGGTCTCAGCGGACCAGTCATCTTTCTGTGGTTCTCCCATACTTTTTAACTTTTTCCGAGGGGGTCTGCAGCCTTCTATAATTCTGCAGTAGTGACGAAGCACATGCGCGTGCACGATGTATATCAACGGCATAGCAGTTCTACACACCGCACAATTCTCTTTGTTGGGCTCTTGCGACTCGACGAGTCTCGCCTTGATCCAACATTGTTTTTTCTTCTACACATGTGTCACTATTTTCGAGTAAGTGACTCTATTGTTAATTGTATGTATGTTTTTATTTGTGCCAGTATTCTTTGGCGTGGCCCTGTTTGAGGATGGATAGAAATTACGACTAATTTGCGATATAGTTTAATAAAAAGCTGTATTTGAAAACCGTATCGTTAATCAAATGGTGTGATCTGATTGATGATTCATTTCGAACTGAGAAAGGATTTCGCAAAACGACACTGTTCGGAGCAAATTTGATAAAAATAGCGAGCAGAAATTGGCGCAAATAAAGGCCGCCTAAAATAAAAAATGAATCCAAGCATTTGGTTTAAAAATAGAATGTCATGTGACCGAATAGTATACTTGTGACACTATGACAGTCAACAGGCATTTTGACACTGAACAGTAGTATTTAGGAAATGGGTATTGGTTAGAATATCCAATATCTATAATCTATAAAACACATATTTTTAATTAAATTTTTTATCTCGAATCCGACTCTTCAAGTAGCTTCTGAAGTTTAAAAGATAAACTGAGATGTCGTAAATAGTATAGGACATATAGAATTCAAATATTGCAAATAGTGATATCTATCCAGAGATCAAGACAGTCCAGAATGCCAATCGGCGTGACACTTTTTCAGGAGGAACTTCATAAAAAATACAAATAATATATATTTGTATAGACATAGCCAATACTGTATATTTTATGGGGTAAACCACTAGCACACCGCACACATTCACACTCTACATAACATCCACATAAACAAGATGTCTGAAGGCGCGCAAGTTATCGAATTTGAGCACGATGATGCTTTGAAAGCCGCGGCCGTTGCCGCCCCTGGACCGAGTCTTCTAAGACAGTTCATTGCAGGTATAGTATTGGCATATATATATATATATATATACATATATGTCTATTTATATATATATATAGCTATTATATATATACATATATATATATATATATATATATATATATATATATATATATATATATATATATATATATATATATATATATATATATATATATATATATATATATATATATATATATATATATATATATATAATATATATATATTATATATTAATATATATATTAATATATATATTAATTATATGGTATATNTATATATA